ATATAAGATCGTTTTTTTTTTTCCAAAATATAATCTTTAAATAAAAATGATTTTACTCTTATCACTCTTATCTTGTGCAAGGCATAGTAAAGCAATAGCTGTGTAAGAGTCAGAGCTGGTGTGATATGAAAAAGCTGACAAAAACTGTGATAATCACTTTTTTATTTAGTGTTGACTGTTTTACTCTACTAAGAACTAAAGAATAGAACATTATTTAGATTTATCATTAGATTAATCATCAGTATAACTAATAGTATATCTAATAGTCAACAAATAGTTATTCAATAAAAAACATAAAGTTATTATTACATAAATCTAACTTTATTATCAATCTAAATTTATCAGTATATCTTAATATCATTCCTTATTCATATTGTTTTAAATATTTAATACATTTTAAGTATTTGAGTTATTTTTCAATGTAACTATACCATCAATCTAAATTTTATAGTAAATAAATCAAATACATCGCTTCGTTAACATAGCCAGGGCTCGAATTAAGCGTATCTCGATAGCAATCGCGATTTTATACTTTCGCGATTAGTTTTTTCTTAAAACATATGTTTTCGCAATTGGTTTACTTTTTTAGTTGTTTATTTACTTTTTTTCTAATTACGTTTTTTTTTTTGGCAATTCTTAAAAAGTAATGTTTTCATAGTAAAGTACGTCACGCAAAGTTTGTCTTTTGAATAGAAGCATGATCATTTGCTCTTTCGTGCAGAGATTTTTATTCAATGTAAAGCACTTTTTTATTTAAATTACTTTAAATCTCTGCTTAGTAGCAAATTAAAAAGACAATAGTTAATTAATAAAGACAATAACAGAATTTTTTCTTCATTCTATTTTTTTTAACAAAACAGCATTTTTTTATTTTTTTTGGAGCATCTTTTTTTTAAAAAAACGTTGCTCCAAATTAACTTATTAATAATGAATTAAATTATTATTTTATAAACAATTTTATATAATTATTTTTACTACTTTAAGTATTATAAAATATATATTAATTCGTTTTTATTAAATAAAAATTCTATTAGTAAAATTGTACTAATAGAAACCAGCAACTTTTTTGCTTTCATATTTTTCGCTTTTAACGACCTTGAAACTATTGAAGTTATATTTAACTTTACTGAATGGATAGAGTATATCGCAGTAAATTAACTTATAACCTAAATTAAAACAACCAGTTAAGTTAAGATAGTAACTTGAGATAGTTACTCAAGTATTAATTATCAATTATATTAATTTATTTATTAAACTCGCAAAAGTTAGCCATAGACATGTTTCAATTTAGATCTTTCATGTTGTTAAAACATAATATGAGCTTTTAACTAATAATTATTTTAACAAAAATTGTCGAATAGAAAATGAAAACGCGACACCATTTTTTTATATTTTCATTTTATTTATAGCGACATATAGACTAAACATTTTTTATAAATACGCAAGTTGTTTTCAGGAATTTTATTTAAAAAGAAATCTATTTGAACAAGAGAACTTTAGCCTTAAAATTCACTTATTCAAATAATTTTGTGATTGAAATTTGAAATTGAAAAAAAAAATTTAAAAATTTAAAAATTTAAAAAAAGTTTGATGAAACAAGAGAGAATAAAGATGAATTTTTTTTTTCGTAAATTGTAAATTTTGTTAACGTTTTAAATTATATATTTTTTCTTGAAAATAGTTTTAAAATTAGAAACATTCTATTGCAAGCATCAAAGCTGTGGTTGCAAATTGCAAGTTATAATAAAAGTTTTAAATTAAATTTAATAAATTATTTTACTTCTGTTCGAAAATTTTTTTAAAAAAAATAATTTAAGCATATTCTTACACTTAATATAATTCGATTTATTAAACAAAATTTTTTGTTTCACTTTTTATTGGAAAACAATTAGAATAAAAAAAAATTGAATAAAAACATCAGTTCAAAAACCTTTTGAATGAAAACCTAATTACACTTAAATTTTTAATAGTACGCTCGATTGGGAAACAAAAATTTATAAAAGTTGTGGTATCTAATGTTTTTTTGCTTTGATCTTACTCGTTTGGTCTATAGATTACAAACTCGTATAGGTCTATAGGCGCAAATATGAAGTTTTGTTTTAGTTAATTAACTAGCTCAATTTTATTTATTTGCTTTCTTTTATTTTAAACGCGTTTTATTTTATAAACTGTATAAATCAAAACAAAACAGGGTCACGAATATGTTTTACATTATTCCAAGCTCTTTATATTTTTAAAACAACTTTGCAGTTTGTTTTAATGTTGTTTTATAGCTTTTAACAATTAAATACTTTTTTAAATTAACACGTGTTTTAACGTCAGCATGAACGTATTAAATAGTTTTCTTTGACTAATTAAAGTGGTTTAGATATTGTAATGTTGCTTTTTCTCTTACTTTTTTACTTTTTTAAGTATCATGTTAAGTAAAAATATACTTAAAGAAATATCTTAATAGTATTAAAAACGTTATTGCTTATTACAACTGCAACTTAAACTTTAAGTTATAACTTAAGTTGTAAATAATAACAGTAACTTACGCTATTTTAAATTCTTCCAAATAAGAAAATTATAAGATTATATTTAAATATGAGAGATAATATGTTAAAAATAGAACAATTACGTACCAAACTTACAATTATATAGTAACGCAACTTCCCTCCTCTCCCCCCATTACCACAAAGTGACGCAAGTTATAGGGGGGGAGGGGTTCGTTAAAAAATTTTTTTTTTTTCGCGATTAGATTTTTTTGCATTAATTCGAGCCCTGATATCAAACTCTTCCATTTTAAATTTGCTCGCTTAAACATTTATCTTAATAAAACTAAATTTGCGGTTAAATGTCCTCATGCACTATCTTGCATAGCATGAGGGCTATTTTTGCCCTCATGCTACACATTTAGTGTAGTGTAGTGAGGGCAACTTCGTAACATAAGGGCACCTTCGTAACATTAGGGCACTCAATATAACTTGAGGGCAAAAACGTAACATGAGGGAAAAATTCGTAGCGCAAGGGCATGCAATTCGTAACATGATGGCTGTTATCGAAAGTATCGGTTATGTTGGTATCGTTTGGTCTCAATGCGATACTTTACAATATCGACATCAAGATCACGCGATACTGGTATAGAAAGTATTGGTTATGTTGGTATCGTTTGGTTTCGATGCGATACCTTACAGTATTGATATTGAGATCACGCGATACTAGTATCAAAAGTTATCGCTTATACTGGTATTGTTTTGTACAGTATAAAGGATGAGGAAAATTTTATTAATTTCTTCTATCGTGATTAAAAGGGAAGAAAAGATTTTGTTTACATTTATTTATATATTAAATTATTACAAATAATTGAATTAGAAAAAACAGTATGTAATTCGGGGTACTACCCTCCCCCTACCTAGGAAATGACAAATTTCAAAATATTATTGATAAAATTGAAAAAAAGAGAAAAAATACAAAAAACTGTAATTCAACATTTTATTATTTTTCTCAAAAAAAAGTAATTTATTTAACCATAAAAGTTATTTATATAACCGGTATCGTAATTCTCGCCTGATTTTTTGTTCTGTGTTCAACATTCAACAACTAAACTTTAGTTTTAAACAATTAAACATAAGTATACTTTAGTTATTAAAGAAAACTAATCTTCACAATGCCGGGACATAATCCTGAGATTCATTACTGGCAAAATTATTTTTAATATATAACAACTCTATATCGTAGTATTTTGGCCAATGCGGATAAAGTTATGGCAGATAAAATTAAATTCAAGCTTATCAAAGGGTCTTTAATTTGATAATAATATTTCTGAAATTATTTAACTCATTTGAGTTAAATATTTTCACATTGTTTAGATGTAAAACTTACAGTAAATGCCCCTAAAATTATTAAATTATTAATAGAAGAAAATCCTAAAATACCAGCAAAAGAACAACAAAGGAAAAAACAAGGAATGGACAATTGCCAAAGTGTTGTAGATTGTTAAAAAACAATAACTAAATGTCTAAAAAGTAATTGTACTTGTATTTTGTTTATAAAAAATTAAATAAGTCATTTTTTTTTTTTTTTTTTTTTTTTTTTTTTTTTATTGAGAGTCTCAATTCGAGACCATGCAATATTATACGATTCTTTTTATTATCAGTATTGTTTGGTATTGAAGCGATACTGATAGTATTGACATTAGTACAAAGGCGATACCAAACAATAAGAGACCATCCTTCTCGGTATCCAGTGGTATCGAAACGATACTGATAGTATTGACATTAGTATATAAGCGATACCACGCGATATGAGACCATTCTTCTTGGTATCGACTTATCAATACCGATTATCTAGTAGGGTGGTCCATAAAACAACTTTTTTGAGAAAAACCTGCTGACACCCCCTAAATGTGTTTTATCTAATGCAAAAACGCTAGGTTTAAAATTTTTTTGAACAAAAATTATTTTTAGGGGTAGCTCAAGGCCCTCAAAAATTTGACGGGTCCCTAATATTTTGAAAAAAAAACTTTTTCTAAAGTATGTCAACCTGGTACTCAAAATAAGCAAAATTATATAAAAAATTTAAAAATGATAATAATTTTTTATAAAAATAATTTTTTTAGGTATAAATGCATAAAAACTATTGTTTTTAAGCTGAAAATAAAAAAAGTCAATATTTTCAGGTTTTTTGAGAATAATTTTTTTTAGGCATGTTTTTTATGTAAAATGATTATTATTTTTGAAGTTTTTATACAATATCGCTTCTTTTGAGTACCAGGTTGACATACTTTAGAAAAAGTTTTTTTTTCAAAATATTAGGGACCCGTCAAATTTTTGAGGGCCTTGAGCTACCCCTAAAAATAATTTTTGTTCAAAAAAATTTTAAACCTAGTGTTTTTGCATTAGATAAAACACATTTAGGGGGTGTCAGCAGGTTTTTCTCAAAAAAGTTGTTTTATGGACCACCCTATTATCTAGTGTCTAGTTTTACCAGTTAAAATATTTTATTTAAAAAAATTCCAGGTAATCATGATCTCAAATCAGTGAATCTTGATATGTTACGAAAGAAAATGAGCATTGTCAGTCAAGAACCTGTACTGTTTGCTACCACCATTGCTAATAATATTGCTTATGGTGTAGATGCTAGTCAAGATAAAGTAAGAGTCTTTTTTTTTTTTTTACTTACTTCAAAAAAGTGTCTGCATTAAAGTCAGTATTTTGAATATATATATATATATATATATATATATATATATATATATATATATATATATATATATATATATATATATATACACACACACACCCATACAAACACACATTTTTTAGATAGAAATAGCAGCTAAACAAGCCAATGCTCATGATTTCATTATAACTTTTGAGGTAAATATTATTTTGATTTTTATATCGCATATTTTATATGTAATCTTAAAATACGTATTATGTTTTTATTAATTTGTAATTATTATTACTTTATTTATATATGATTTTATCACTTTAAAAATTAAATTATTAGGAAGGTTATAATACATTTGTTGGTGAACGTGGAATCAAGCTTTCAGGTGGACAAAAGCAGAGAGTGGCTATTGCACGAGCACTTCTTATGAATCCTGATATTTTACTTTTAGATGAGGTATACCTTTTCAGTTATGTGTTGATTACCATTTGTGTATTACTAAAGTACAAATGCTTTAAAATAAAATACATAAAATGTATAATAAATGTTAATAATTTATATTCATAAATAATACACAGTATGCAAAAAAAGTACACTTATCATACACTTAAAAAAAAATCATAATTTTAAAGATTGTATCAAAAAAAAAAAAAAAATGAGTTTTCCTTTAAAATATTTAAATTTTTATTAGATATCTAAGAAAAATCCTATTAAAGTATTGTTTTAAGAATTTGTGTATTGATGAATTAATTGCTTTTCAAAATCGAATAAATTTTACACAAGTGATCTAATAATGCATAAAATTGACTGTAAAAAAAAAATCATACACTAACAATATAGGTCATCTTTTTAGCGTAAATCAAGTGAATTGAGCAAACAATCTAGTGAGTAAAATAGAAAATAGTAATTTTTGAAGACATTTTCGTCCTAGAAATGAAAAAAAATTTAGTGTTCCAGCTAAATGGCGTCAAAAAAACAATATTTGTCTTTCTATCAGCAACGCCTCATAGATGATTGGAAAAATCAAGAAAAATCCTACCGTCAGGTCCAAAAAGGAATTCCTTTTAACAATAGTGTCCTCAATTGTTAAGGAGCGTGACCTGATTGGAACTGTTTCTAGTGTGGCTTGCAGAGGACAAAAATGCAAGACCACCAGTGCAATTGATCGCAGTGTCATCATTAAAAATAAATTTGTTTTGGCAACTAACTTAAAAAGTTCAAGAAATTTACAGCATCACAGTGACTCCTTAAACAATCTGAAATTGTATAAGAGAACAGGGTTATAAAGGTAGAGTAGTTCAAAAAAAAAACAAATGAAGCATCAATTGGAGTTTACAAAGAAGCGTGAAATAATGCTAATATCATATGAAAAGTGTGGCAAAAAAAAGAGAAGCTTATAAACTGAGTTATTGGCCTGGTAGTGTAAAACATGGAGAAGGAAATGTGATATTTTGGGTAGTATGAGTTAGAAAGGAATTAGGAAATTGAAATTTATTGATGACCAAATGGGTACTTCAATATGTTGTAAAATTCTCAAAGCCGATTTTGCGACTATCTAATAAAAAATTGAGGATGGAAACAATTTCATAATCCAGCAGGATAACGATCCAAAATATACCGCTAAGAAAACAAAGCTATACATTGATACAAATAACATCCATGTTTTGGAGTGACCATCTCAAAGTCCGGACTTGAATCATTTAGAAAATTTGTGTTATATTTTGGACAGAAAAATTGGCGACAGAGCATTCAGACACAAATATGACTAAAAGAACCTATAATGGGCACATTGGATAATATAGCAACAGAAGAGACCCAAAATTTAGTCAACTCAAAATTTAGTCAAATCGTCTAGCTGAGGCCATTAAGGCCAAATGAGGCTCCACTTGATACTCATTTCCATGAAATTTGATCGATTTGACATTATTTTTGAACTGCATGGTTATTTTTTTGCAGTACCTTTTTAATTAAAATTTTAAAATTTTCATCGTACAAAAGAAGCTTTATTTTTTTTTCAAATTCTTGTTGATTTTTTGTTATTAATATTCCAATGCTTATTTTAGATGCAATTTTTGTAAACTTGTTTAATAAAAAACATTTAGTCATAAACATAAAAGATGGGATTTTTTTTAAGTTTACAATTGTTATTTTTGCATACTATATTAATAATGGTAAAGAAAGTGAAAAATTTTAATTGTTTTTATTAATTAAATTTTAGTTAATATAATGTTTAAATTTTTTTAGATTTTAACATTATTTACTATTTGTTTTGTATATATATATATATATATATATATATATATATATATATATATATATATATATATACACACACATCAAATAAATAATTATTTATTTTGTATATAATATTGAAATATGTTTAATTTTGTATTTTCAACTAAGGTAAAATGTTAAAGTTATACTTTAATTAAAAAACTCATTTTTTCATGTTAACTTACGTCATTCTGTTAAAATTAGAGCGCAAATTTCTACGAACAATAGATAGTGATTTGTCAATGAGACTTCTTTATATAAAACATTTACAGCAAACATTTAACAAGATTAAATAAAATTTTATTTATTTATATAAGTTTATTAACAATATTAAATTGTGTAATAAATACAAATTAATTATGAGAAACATTGTTAATTTAATTTTGTAAAAGGATTTGTTAAAAACCATATGTATAATAATAAAAGTTTTTTATTTAATTTCGAAAAAAATAGTTCTAAAAACGTTGTGTTTTTGAACAGGGAATAGATTGCTTATCGTTAAAAACAAAATAATCACTATTCATATTCTTTTAATTGTGTTTTAGTAGTCGAAATAAAACATTTAAAAAAACTCATTTTCTAAATATTAACCTATGTCGTTCTGTAAATTAGACCATTAGAAATGTTTTTGGTCTAAATTTAAAAAGTTTTTGTTAAAATGTGTGTGTGTGTGTGTATATATATATATGTGTATATATATGTATATATATATGTATATATATATATATATATATATATATATATATATATATATATATATATATATATATATATATATATATATATGTATATATATATGTATATATATATATGTACATATATGAGCTTGGGGACAAAGAAAACCCAATTTTTGGGCCCACCCAGCCCTTAACGTGGGAGCAACAAGTTGACAAAATAATTTCTTTAGTATTTTTATCTAAGTTTATATTCATCTACGAATTTCAAATTTCATGCAATAATGTTTTTCAACAAAAAAAAAAACGTTTTTAAAATTTTTTTAAAAACGTTTTTTTTTTTGTTGAAAACCTAAAAATGCAAAAACGTTTATTAGGATTCATCTATAGTCCTTTATAACTACCATTGTTCAAAACTGAAATGTGAAAAGGTTAAAATGTGTACACAATAATATTTTTCTTGACCATTGAAATCATTCAACATTGCAGTATTGTAAGTTTTAAAAAATGTTTGCTATGCAACTCCCCCCCCCCCCTTCTTTGTATTAAGCATTTGAGAGTATAGTAAAGAGAGTAAAGTTTAAAAAAATAGAATAAAGTAAAGTTTAAAAAAAGATTTTAGCTTTTACAAAAGATTTTGTCTATCCTTTTTTTATTATTATTATTTTATTATCATATTTTTAACCACTTAATTTATTTCAAGTTTGTGCTTTACTTAGGCTACAAGCGCTCTTGATTCTGAAAGTGAGCATTTAGTGCAAGAAGCTATTGATCGAGCTATGATTGGAAGAACTGTGTTAGTTATTGCCCACAGGTTATCAACAGTGCGCCACGCATCTCGGGTATAATTTTTTTGTAGTTTTGTTTTTAAAAGCATTATCAAAAATATTTTTGACTTCAATAGCATCTCAGGTAAATATTCTAGAGTTTTGCAGTTTTTATGCAGATTGGCAGCAAATTGCATAACATGAACTGTGATTGACATTAACAAAATGCTAAAAGGTAAAAAAAAGGTAAAAAGAAGTGAAAATTGGTAGCAACACCAAAAAAGAATAAAATAATTAAGTTTCATTATTAAATATGGTTGTATCATGAAAGTTGATGCAATGAATATGTTTTATGCAAAAATAAAAGCACAACATAAAAGCCTTACTTTAAATCAATGTGGACTCTACCTAGAACATTTTAAAAACTCTCCTATTTTTGTTTTCAATAAAAGGATAAGACAAAAATAACAACTCAATAAAACAACTATATAAAACGCGTCTATCCAGTATGAACTCTTATTTACAACTATACAAAAAATTAAAATTGCAAATATTACTCCATACGGCACGGAGGAGTGCCTAAGCAGGAAAAATCCTCAGTGTCAGATTTCACACACTCCCCCGCTTCCCTTGGCAGATTTTACACACTCCCCGTGATTTTACACACTACCCCGTATCAGATTTTACACACTCCCACACTCCCCTGTTGATTACACCATTGTAGTCAACATTTAATAATAATATAAGAACTTCATTTTAATAAATTTGATCTAATATCCTTCTAGTTTCCTGGCCGATAATTGTTGCTCTTTGCCTAGTTAACACAAAATAAATTTGCCTAAAATTTATTTTGTGTTAACATGTCAACCTGTTGTGCTTCACCGCTAACTTCTAGCGGAATTAATTTCTATAAAGTTCTGATCCTTTTTTTTTTTTAAATAACTGCAAACTCTGCTCCTTGCACAATCATATCTTGACCAGTAATTAACTTCTCAACTTTTCCGATCCTCCATAATCCATGCGGAGTTTTGTTTTCATCTTTTATCTACATTGCCTACGACTAATTGACAGTTGCTTGAGGCAAAGCATTCTTTCCGGTACAGATTGTGTTGTCTCAGCTCATTCAGACAACTATTGTAAAATCTATTCCAAATACTTTCAAATAATTTTCGCGTGTACTTGTTCGATTGGAGCAGTCTTGTGGATATATACAAATCGATGCATTTTCCTATGCTATCTCTACGAGAAATGTCGGCACCAAAAATTAAATGAAATGGAGTTAAAGACTCCCACAGTTCATCATCACTAACATAAATTAACGGTCGCTGATTTATCACATACTCGACTTCACATAAAACCGATGACAACTCGTCGTATCTAACTATTTACTTAAGTGACCTCTTTTTGAGATAAAGTTTTACAGAACGTACTAATTGCTCATAAAAACCACCCCACCAGGGTGAAGCAGGAAGGATGAACTGTTGTCGGATGTCTCTATTTAACATAAACTCTCCAGCAGGTTTTGATTTAAAGGTTTTTGCATTATCACTTATTAAAAGTGCTGTACTTCCTCTTCTCGATATAAATCTTTGTAAAGCTCTTAGAAATGAAGAAGATCATTTGTTAACTTTAAATGAATAGCTCTAGTTAATGCACAAGTTAATAATAACACATATACCATTAATATATTGGCTTTGTCGTTGTTTTCCTTTATAAACAATGGACCAGCATAATCAAGTCCCATATATTTAAAGCTCCTAGTTGATTGTATTCGAAATTCAGGAAGGTCAGGTTCAATTGTTTTGGTAAGTGTTCACCCTTGAAAGAATTTACAAATTACCCATTTGTGTAACACAGATTTTCCTGCCTTGTATAATCCAAAATAATTTTCTTACTTCATTAAGGGTACTTTCAACACCTTGATGGAATACTTTTTTGTGAGCATCTTGAATTTTAAAATAACATAAAAAATTGTTTCTCAACAAAATAATTGGATGCTTTTGTTCAAAATTTAAAACTTAGCTATTACAATAATGTCCTTTTAGTCGCAATAAACCATATTGGTCCTCAAACAATTTAAATTTACTTTTTATTTTATTAAACTTTTTATCATTACAAATGTCTTTTTGAACTTTTTAACTCTTTAACCCACATATGTAAACCATAATTATATACATTAACTGTCAGTGTATCATTCATTTATATATTGTCATCAATACTTCTTTTATTCTTCAACACTTTTTTGGCAAAATATAAAACATATAAGGTAACTCTAACTAAGTTTTGTAGAGAGCTATACCTGTTTGTATCAATTATATTTTTGAGAACCACTTCCCCACAAAACAAGGTACACGATGACAAGTTACTCACTACCTCACTTGGCACACCACGTTTACTACATTCTTTGTTAGCTTCTCCTTTCAAATTATTCTTATCAAATTCAAACATTGGGAAGATAATACTTTTCTCCTTAAGAAATTCTGGACCTTTAACCCATCTACTGCTACTACAATGAGACAAATCGTCAGGAAAGTGGGAATGTCAGCTGGATTTATTTCTCCATGAACAAAATGCCAACTATCACAATTGATTATTTGTCTGATTTTCACAACTCTATTTTAAACCCAGGGCTTCCAACAACATGATTTTTCTTTTATCCAATGTAATGCAACTAAAGAATCTGACCATGCTACAATTTTTGATATTACAACTTTATCACAAATGGAATGTTGGAATTGTTTCATGAGTTTAGATGACAAATGACAACCTAATAGTTCTAATCGCGGGGTAGACAAGGTTTCAAGTGAAGCAACTTTAGTTTTCGAGGTTAGTAAGCAGGTTTTTATTGAAGTTCTTGAAATAACAGAAGCATATGCTTGTATTGTACTGTCCAAAAAGGCATGTAGCCCTGTGGATATAATATCTTCCTTTATTTTTTTTATAACATATCTTGGAACGCAGATAAGATGAATTTTTTAAAGCTGCAATACAAAGGACTCCCATTAGAGCTTAATGCTATCACAGCGCTCGAAATAACAGCCGATCAACGATCAATGATCGGCTATTTTTAGGGAAATTTAGAAAAATTCAAGGGAAAATAAGCTGTTTTTGTCAAAAAATTACATTTGATCGGCAAGTTTTGAAAAACTATTTCGAGCGCTGCTATCAGGAATCTCCTCATCCCTCTCCAGTTTATCCTTACAGAGTATTTGAAATAAAGTTTTAACACAAGTAGTAATTGGTAATATTAGCCCAAGAAGATCGTAAGTTGATGTAGCTAAACGTAAAATGTTTCTTTTTGTCTTGGGTAACAACTTTTCCTTTTCTAAAAGTGATTGAAATTTAAATATGTAGCTAAACGTAAAATGTTTCTGTTTGTCTTGGGTAACATCTTTTCCTTTTCTAAAAGTGATTGAAATTTAAATACAAAATAATCTTTTTTAATGTCCTAATTGACTCTCAAAACTGTTTTGTTGCTTAATTGAGTGTTTATATTAACTTTATCATCAATATAAAGATTAACTCCTTCGCATTTATTAATATGGTTTTGTAATTCTATATTATTTGTTGTCCATTTCCTAAGCTCTAAACCTTCTTTTAACATAATGTCTTAAACTGTATGATAAAATTGTACACCATCGTTTAAACTATCACATCTGCTAAGTCATCCACTTACCAATAAGGTATAATCTTTTTAATAAATTCAGGGTAAGAAAACAAATACTTATTAAGATGATGCTGCATTGTTCCGTTTAAAATAAATGGACTTGATGTAAGACCAAATGCTACACAAGTAAATCGATAAATAACTAATTGGTCATTACGACTTAAATTGCTGAACCAAAGTAAACATAGAAAGTCTCTATGTACAGGCACAATTTTGATATTCAACAAGGCTTGTTTTATATCCGACTACTTGTCTAAAAGAAGTCGGATATAAAACAAGCCTTGTTGAATATCAAAATTGTGCCTGTTGAAATTATACCTAAAAGGTAGTTTCGTAACATCTTTTGCCATTAAATTTTATATCTTTTTCAAGCTGATGCATTACACTATCTTCTAATTCTCTAGTTGCCTCAAGTTCCCAAAATTTTTCTAGTTGATCCTTTAAATCACTATCAACATTGTTACGTAAAGGAAAGACACTACACTTCATAGAATGAATACTGTAATGTTGATTTGAGTCAATTGGAATAGACAATTTGCTTTGTCTTACCAGAATCCAACCTAGTGATGAATAAATGGCTACAGGACCATCAGACCCACGAATCATTTCTCCAGTCACTAAGGAATAGTAAAAGTCAATTCCAACTAAAATATCAACCTTAATTGTGGTATCAAAATTATTGTCTGTTAATGATAAATGTTTTAAATGTTTGTAGTTATTCACTGCTTCTGAAATATTTTGCATTTTTAAGGGTGTGTAAATTTCTGGAATGCATAACGCTTCTAAATATGTCCATCCTTTGTTCATTTTTTGTTTTACTCGAAGTTGTATAACATCTAAAACTTTTACTTGGCCAATTGAGTTTCCAAATGTATTAATGAGCTTCTCTTTTTGCAAGGTTTTCAGTTTTAAAGCATTTCTTAACTCTTCAGTTATGTAAGAAAACTGACTTCCACTACCGAACATTAAACAAACTTTTTTTGAGAGAAAATTTTGACAATCTGAAACTCGGGTTGTCGTAGTTTGGAGAAGTTCAGTATTACTAGTATTTGACCATGTATGAGTTGCATTGGTTTCTTTTACTTCTTGATTCTTTGTGTTTTTATATTTATTATGATCACTGTCCTTATTACAAATTGAAAAATGATGACGTTTTCCACATTTGTTACATACAAAATTACTACTGCAATTTTTACTTGTATGACCACTTCACAGACAAACAAAACATCTTGCTAATTTCCTTAATGTGGCTACACGAGCTTCAATATTGGTGACTACGCTGCATTTAGTCGAAGAGTGATTACCTTGACAATACAAACAATTATTAAATTCTCAACCACCTTGTGTATGTAAATTTTGTGTTTTAAATCGAATGTTTCCAACGTAGTTTTTTTTTTGCTCCATTTGTCCATTATGACTTTGACATCTTTCTTTTACTAAAAGTTCTTCATTAAAAAATTCTAACATTTTCTCTAATGACCAAATACTATTACCAAATTTTCTTGATATAAGGATTTTTAACTCTTCAGGTATTCTTTCATTTAGAATAGGTATAAATAGACAACTATATGAGCTAATGTCCCATTTTTTATGAATTAAGATTTCTGATACAGATCTCAATCTCGTTGTAAAGCTTTATCAGTTGATCGAGATTATCCATTGATGTCACAGACCATACTTTCAACAAAGTTTCCATATGTGCAGTTATTTGTACTTGGGAGTCTGCATACCTTTGTCTTAAAATATCTTAAAATGCTTCTTTATAATTTTTATTTGATAGAGTCAATCCTGAAATGGCTGTTAGTGGACCATGACGTAAATATTTTTTTAAATATGAAAACTTATCTATTTCACTCAGGGAATCGTTTTGATTAATTGTTGCATTGAATTGGTCTCAAAATGATTACCACTTAAGAGAGCTTCCGTCAAAAGATTGGTAATTTACAATTGGATATAGTGCTTTGTGAATAAGTAGATTAAGAATTAGGTGAAAGTTTTTGAGAGTTTAATTTGTTATCGATTTTTGCAAGAAGTTGATTTGAATGACGTATGAATCTCTTAGACTGAATGACGAATTCAGCAATGTCATCCGGTTCCTTTAAATTAATTATTTCTTCTACTTCTCTTAGCTCTAGTAACGTGTTGCTCAATGAATTTCTTAAACCTCTAAGTGCATTAAAATTATCGTCACTATTATTTAACAAGTTACTCTTAACTTCTTCATTTATTTCTTGTATGTCGCTTTGTAAACCTGTCCTTCGCGATAATTTCCTATTTAAGGCTGCCATATGTTTATGCAATGTCAATCAAATGTGTATCTTTACATTTACTTCTTCTTTTTGCAAAATCTTTGTATTTCGTTAAAGTACTCTTTTTTTCATCGGGCGCCAATTTAAAAACTCTTCTATTTTTGTTTTTAAGAAAGGGATAAGACAAAAATAACTCAATAAAACAACTCAAAAAACGCGTCCAGCTGTAACTCTTACAGCTATACAAAAAATTATAATTAAAAATATCACGCCATGCGGCACGGAGGAGCGTCTAAGCGGGAAAAATCCTCCCTATCAGATTTTACAAACATCTTTATATTGGAACCATTCCAGACCGAATTATATCATGTGATTGTATAGCTTGTATAAAGATAAAATTCCCCTACAAGGTTAATTTTACTACACAAACAGAAATTAAATTACCATATTTAGCCATAGATAGTGTTCATATAAAAAATGGTGTTAATACAAAACTTAAAATTTATATTACCTATTGCACTCAATGTATGCAATAATTTAATTATCCAATGTTGTTCCCCAATGTATATTTCAATCAGGGATTATCTTTTTCCAGGTATTTCCGGAAATCCGGATATTTTTCTGAATTTTTAGTTTTTCCGGATATCCAAAACGTTTTCATGCACACAAGTTTAGGTATGTATTTTTGTAATATATTTCTTTTTTAAACTTTTTCACTCAGCACTCATACAAAATTAAAGTAAGTTTGAAAAATAAGCTAGAAACAATTCAGCTTAAAGCAAAATTAAGAGGAAAACAAAGGAAAATATATTCCGGGTTTTTTCCGGATATTCTACCCAAACAATTTTCCGGATTTTTAAAATATGATCTGGGTGATCTATGATTATGTATGTTATCTCACTACACTTGTTACCAGATGTAGTCAGAGATATTTATGTGAACCCGGCACAAAATTAGTTCTAGATAAAATCAACCTTGATGTGTCTTAGTGGAATTTATTAATGGAGAAATTTATTAATTATTACTATTTAAATTCATTTCTTAGCAAATGACTTGACTATATATTTAAAAATGTTTTGGAAGTTTACATTTGTGTTTTTAGCAAATTTTTAAACCCTTTATTCTGTTTACTAAGTTCTTTTGTTTCGACCTTTGCTTTCCTTTCTTGAAGTATGGGTTAAAAAATATAAGGAAATTACAAGTTATGTAACAGAAAAGTAACATTTTTCATTCAAGGGTTTGCTATAAGTTTTTTTTAATTTTTATTATTTATAGAAAAAAAAAAAATTAATACGTCTAGAAAGTGCTTTGTACTAATATTTATTTCTTGACTAGACAGGTGGTATATATTTTCTCATTGACTTTGATTACTGATTTTCATTTTTCAGGTTATAGTAATAAACAAAGGAGCCATAGCAGAAGTAGGTACCCACGATGAACTAATTCAAGCAAATGGAGTTTATAAAAAACTCGTACTTCGTCAACTTGAAAAGGGACCTTTACTAGAAGACGGCATTGATATCGATGATTCGAATTCTAAAATTTGATTATTTAATAATGAACCAATTCTTTGCATGTTAAAATATCGCAAGTGTCCTATTTAAAAAAATATGAAATCAAAACTTCGATTATTTATTTTAAGTTTCTTTCATTAATTTAAGCGTGTTTATATATTTTTTGTTTTTTTATTAATTATCGTGTTAACACTTCTTTATGATGCATTTTTGCGTATTTTTATTTAATTTTATATTAACATTTGATTTCTTTATAAAAATATTTTTGTATCCAGATTGCATATATTTTTAGCAAAGGTATACTTAATATAACTTTCGAACTTTGCTTTTTTACCGTGTGAATTAAAAGTTCTTTTTTGTAAACTATAGGAGATTTCGTTCATAAACTTTTTAAATAAGTAAACAAAAATTATACGAAGTTTTTTAATATGCTAAAGACGATCTTTTGAGTTTGTTTTGAAAAAGAATGTGTGTATGTGTCAATATATAGTTATATATCTGGACCTCGGAGATGAACTAAATTACATCAACTTGCTGCTGTTTTATAAAAATGGCTTAAATTTACTCTTTCTAGTGGTATACTAAACTATGTATTAATTATTTTATAATAAAAGAAAGCGGTAAGAATATAACTTTGTGTATGATACGTTTATATAATACAAAACGAGTTCAATAACATTAACTAATCTAATAAAGTTTACCTCCGAGGTCATATATATATATATATATATATATATATATATATATATATATATATATATATATATATATATATATATATATATATATATATATATATATATATATATATATATATATATATATATATATATATATATATATATATATATATATATATATATATATATATAGGGCCGGCGCGAATAGGTTTCATGTGTGGGGGGGGGGCGTAGAGCGGGTTATGACGCTCCTTGGGGAGCGGAACCTGTCTTTGCGGGCCTTGGTAATGTGGCCTCTATACGGCAATCAGCCAGAGGAGGATAAGAAAAAAAAAAGGTCCTCGATTTTTAAATTTGCCGACTGCCTTAGCGACATTTGCCGACTGACTGTCTAAATTTACCGAATAACTTGTCAAAAGGGTCTACATTTGCCGACTAAATAAACGAAAAAATTATTGAGTGGGGGGTGAAGCATTCTCATTGCTCCGGCCTTGTGTGTTTATATATATATATATATATATATATATATATATATATATATATATATATATATATATATATATATATATATATATATATATATATATATATATAATTTGTTATATATATATATATAATTTATGTTTTGAAAGATTAAATTAATTTATAAAAATTAAAAATTAATTTGTGCTATATAAAAATTCGAGAAACAAAATTTCAACAGCATTTTTAAATTGCAAATAATTTTGTTAAGTCTTGTTTCTTCCTTTTTTTTTTTTTGTTGTTGTTGTTGTTTTGTTTCCAACTAAAATAGCCAACATCCAAAAATGTTTCTACCTCGGTTATTTTCATTAACCGAAAACATTTCATGAATTTTTAACATATTTGTTGACAAGTTGTCAACGACAACATATTGGTATACAAACTAAACTCAGTTTATAAAAATTAAGTATTTGACTCCCATAGCCAACATTGATATACGGGTACCGTATGGGGCCCATACGGGTTGTCAACTGGTTCCTGTATGGGACGACCAACGGTATCCCGCCGGATCATGGCCGTGGTTTCCATATGGGAGCCATATGGGTTAGCCTGCCGGGTATCCAGTATGGGTCCCAGTCAAATCCCGTACTTTAAAACCGTAAGGGGCCCATTTGGGTTTGCAAATGGGACTCATATGGGGAACCCGCCGGATCTTGGCCGCGGTTTTCTTCTGGGGCCCATATGGGTATGTCCGCCGGGTATCCCATAAGGGTCCCACGAGGTTTACCCAATGCAAATCTTTCAAAACTACGTTTAAATGTTTAAAATTTACAGAAAAAGCAAATTTATATATAACTTCATCGGTTTATTTCAAAAAAATAGAAATTAAAATTACACTGTCGAAATTAAGCAAACTTTTAAACGATTCTTTAATCATGTATCGAATGCTTTCACGGTTATCTCGGAAATTAGAAGCTTTTCCATTGTTGTTAAAACAACTTCTTTGAAAACCTCTTTACACAATATCTCGTTTCAATATGAACTGTAAAAAATTTAACTGTAATTTTAAAATTTATAGGAAACACAAACATTGTTTTTAATATGTTATAAAACTCTTACGGTTTCTCCTAACACTCTTCAGTTAAAAAAATGTAATATTCACCATCGAAGGTAGAAAAACATAACCTTTAATTTTATAATCGACGTTAGTTTCAACGTTTTAAAATGTACTTGTAATAGATGAGCACATGCTTATGATTCATATAATAAATTGATAACATTCCTTTAGTTACTGATAAAAAAATTATATAAAATTATTAAATAAATATATATATTTTTTTATATTGTATATAATTTGATATATATTGTATATACCTTATATACAGTGCCGTGGCTACTACATACAAGCCCCCCTCCTATTCAAAAAAAACAACCTGTCATAAGGGCAACAAAATTCTTGAATATATATATATATATATATATATATATATATATATATATATATATATATATATATATATATATATATATATATATATATATATATATATATATATATATAGGGGAAGTAGGGGCATAACCGCATAAGGAGGCACAACCGTTTTTTAACATTTTCCTTAGAAAAATATTATCTAATATGGCAAAAAATATACCACGCGTTAGTAAAACAGTTTCCTTCATTTTGCATATGTCAAAAAGTGTGCTTGTTACGTTTTTGTGAAATTGTGCATAATAATGTTTATTTTGATAAAAATTTTATATTTACATCATATTTTTCCAGATCTTTTTTTTGAGAATTAAGCAATATTTGATTTTAATGTTTAAGACATGTGTGACAATGGTTTTCACTTGATGAAATAATCAGCATTATTTCATCAAGTGAAAACCATTTTTGATATCAGCATAATCTAATAAGCAAGCTATGAAACTGAATTCTTTCTAAAAACTCTCTTCTGGGACAGAACTCTCTTCTGGAGCAGAACTCAAAATGTAAATATAAAGAACGCCTGCAAATTATGCAAACATGCAACAAAATCATCAAATAATCTGAGCTGTGAAAATTGTTAAGAAAATGTACCATGAAAGGTGTACCCCCAACAATTTTTGTGAGGGTGAGGTTGTGCCTCACAATGGGGGCAAAACCGTTTTTTTCACTAATTGCAATTTTTGTGAAATAAATTTTTCAAAAACCGTTAATTTTTTTTCTTAATTGCATCAATTTAAAGCTTAATGATGAGGTTATTAAAATAAACTAGTAAAAAAACACATTTCGTTTTTATCTTCATCTAACATTATTCCAAACTTTACGGGGGCAGTTATGCCTCCACTTCCCTTATATATATATTTATATATATATATATATATATATATATATATATATATATATATATATATATATATATATATATATATATATATATATATATATATATATATATATATATATATATATACATATATATATATATATATATGTATATACTTACTAAAGCGTGTTTTGATAAGCATTTGCTCACTTTTTCTGCTTATCTTAAGCTTTACCGTTTTTTTCGAAAAAGAAGAAGAAAAAACGAAGAATGATGAATGAAACGATTGCTTTCCCATCTCAAACTCTAAGTCGATAGCACTCTACTGCGAGTCAGGCTATTTGTCAGTCGATGTATGTATTGAAGCCCCCAGCAGCAGGCTATTTCAATATGATGTCAGATTGCTTACAATAATACGCAATACTATTTATATACATATATGTGTGTGTGTGTGTGCGTGTGTGTCATATATATATATATATATATATATATATATATATATATATATATATATATATATATATATATATATATATATATATATGTATATATATATATATATATATATATATATATATATGTATATATATATATATATATATATATATATATATATATATATATATATATATATATATATATATATATATATATATATATTTATGTATGTATGTATGTATGTATGTATGTATGTATGTATGTATGTATGTATGTATAAAACGACGAAAAAGTTGCAAATTCCTCAAACACAGCCTATTTGTCATAAGGTTTGTCTGCTTTTTAAAACCTTTTTACCTTAACCATATTTTTTTTAAATTTCAAAACAATTATCACTCTCATTAGCTGAAACAAAACACTCTAAACCTTGATAATTTTAAAACTGTAAACAGTGTCTTAATGCAATGATTATTACCATCAAAATAAGGAATACTAAACTTCTGTTTATCTTCTTGTACGTTTTTATTTAAGCAACCCTTTGGTCTTTGAACAAGCTTTTTTAATTGACCTGAAAAAGTTTCGTATTTGAAAGAGGAACATTTATCAAGTACTCAAAATTTAACAGTATTATTTCCTATATGTGCTAATGAATGGACATAGTACACTACTTGATCCTTACGATAAAGTTCACATATAAAACAACACAAAGTAAGTAGCTGAAAGGCAAAGTTAACATAATTTTTCAACAAAATAAAACATTATGAAATTAGAACTACAACTGGAAAATCTAAAAAGTTTGAATAGATTTTTGGCTAAACCATTCCCTTTAAACAACTGGCCCAGTGTATACAATAAATAGTCTAAGGTCAGTTGCTTTCCATTTTTTAATATCTAATTAAGACCTTGATTTTCTAGAAAAATTTCTTGGAATGTAATGACGTATCTGGAACAATCTGCCAGATAAAGTATTGACTGTAATCTGAGACAATTTACAACATTTGGGCAATTTAACCATAAGTTGACAAATCTTCGCATTACTTCTAAGCATACTAGATGCATAAAGTCTAAAGGAAACTTTATCATTATGTCAAAATTTAATTCAATTTAACACACCACTAAGATGTTCAAAATGTTTTTGATGACAAAAAATCTGAATCAGCGCTTAAAATTAGTGAAACATGTGGGAGAATTATATTGCCACACCACTCTCCTTTCTAAACACAACACTCACATCA